CAAACTGAAATGACCATTTATGTAAATTCAAACTCAAATTCCATGAACGATCCGATGCAACCACTTGAAAACGCTGGCCAACATTCTGTACAAGGAGTATTCTTGATATGAAATAAAGAAGCAACTGGTTTTCAAACAGTTATCAATATATCACTCAACTTACATGTACAGTCTGCCATGCTGACGCAAATGGCGCAAATGGATAGTTCTGGAATTGACCTCATTTGATGCAGTAAAACAATCTAACATTACCTTATCTAATTTTCGTATCAAAGATCAAATTTCTTTCCTATTATAAAACTACGATAAGACTGCTGACAAAAATGGAATAAATACATTATTGAATCAAAATAATACATCAATAAACTTTATCTCAAGGATGCTGTTCACAACAAAGTCTTATAGGAGAATTGACTTCAAGCTTTATTTTTCCCAGATATTTGTATCACATTCATCTGAAGTCTGGGTTTTTTGTTAATGCGAAGACAATATTTCTATATCTCTTTATGTGTTACACAGACAGACTATTTTGCAGACTGTTCTGACTGACTCTAATGTTAGATTGGACAAACAAACTGTAATTTATATAATAACTTATCCATGCCTGTACAATTGGTATGTTCCTGCATAAACAGGAATAAATATATTATTATTATTATTGATATCTGATTAGTGAAATGTTGGATGCGCTGCATAATGCGGATATCACCAGTGATTATATGTTATTCATTTTCTTTCCTAGCAGAACATAGGGCTTCAAGCTTGAGTTCGGAAGTCTTGATAGCAGTGGCTTTATTTTTCTCGGGATAGGGATGCCAGACTTACGTCCAACTTTCCCTCTTTAACGGGCTAAGTACAGGCTTAGCGAGATTTAGGAGTGTGTTGGCCGGCATTCAAACCCAGGACCACGTTCATGTTTGGAGAGCATTCTATGGCTGAAACACCAACGCATCTGAAGCAGAATGATTATGAGTTCGAATAGGGAAATTCGATTCCAATGAGAGCTCGTAGTTTTGCAGAAGATGCATCCTGACAAGTGGAAAATTTATTCAGCGACAGTGAATTTGACTTGGAACTGTACTCTAAACCCGAAATCATCACATTCTTTTCCGTCTCAAGAGCTAATTTGCTCCACATAGAGAATCCGGCTGAATTTCAAAATATGTCAAAATTCCGTCACATTCCTCTGGAAAATAAATCTTTTGCGAAATCGCGAGTACAGCTAAAGTGAATTCTTCTGTTCGTCGGTGTCACAACATATTCTTTGATTGCCAGTTAAATGCCTAATTGAGTTGAATACTGGCACAACAGTTCTCAATCATTCATACTTAATTAGTGGAATTCTAGCAACATGACAACTTTATGATTTCACCCATGAATGACAGAGCTGCTAATTACTCTGTGTTTAAATCAGACATAAGATCAATAGGTAAGAGATGTGTTGTGTATTGCAGTAGTTTCTTGTTACATCTCGTTAGCTTCAGTGTCGTTCGAACTGGAGCATGTAAATAACATTACTATTCTACGGTTACCGGAACAGAGTAAAAGTGCAAATCACCTACACTTTGAGACAAATTAATAATCCTGTTTTTTTTTGCAACAGGGATAAGGGGTTATGGAGTACTAAAGATTATTCCAGTTGTAATATTAGAGTACATCTATGTTTTCACATTCTACGAAATGCTTATATTGTACCTGGTCAAAGATGAACACCGTTATATCAAGCAGCACAAGTGAAAACTTGAAAAGATATATTGTTGACGAAATAAAATTTTGAAATACGCGGAAACGAACGAAAAATGTGTAACCGCGTAAAAATACATATGTAACAAAGAAAAGCAATGTTCAGTAATACAATGGCAAATATTCCACGAGTATATGTAAAATTAGTTCCTGTAAGCGTATAAAATGCGTACATGAATTAGCTTCATAAGCGTGCAGTTAGGCTTAATATAAGAGTGCTACAGTTTAATAACATATTTTGAAAGATAAACAGAAGTGTACCAAATCAAAACATAATGGACCACCTGTCAATTCTGAAAAGAGTGATGACACAGTGAAAGTTTTACCTTTTTGGTTAGCTTTTTACCCTACTCGAAACAAATAGTATTAGAGAGTGTGAATCGATCGAGAAAAAGGGAGACCTTGTCCCATTGATGCAGACTTAAACTGAGAACCAGACAATACATTTTAGCACTTTTCTGACCAGCCAGAATGTAATCGTGCAAGTGAATTATCATACTCTGCACACCTAGTCTTGGAATACAAAATCGCATCAAACCAACTACCTGATGAAATTCAAATTGTAACTGACCGCCTCTGTTTTACCTTTTCAATTTTAAAGAGACGAAAGTATGCCAAGTTTGTTTTGCAATGACTTGTATCCTCACTCTTTACTATCGGGTCCCTTTTTTATGTCACCGAGTTTTTCGCCGAATGAATTAAATTTTTAATCCATTTTAGCTGACTGAAAGTCAAATTGTATGTTTCTAATATTGTTTAATGTATATATGTATAAAAAGCCATGAATAGGCATAGAATTAGTCTAACGTCTATTACGTACCTTCTTTGGCGAAATTTTCTTCCGTCTTTCTCTACTCTTGTAATCAAATTACTAAGAAGAATCATAGTGACAATTATTCAGTGTTTTACAATAACTGAGGGCTAACTGTGAATGGTTTGCCGTCAAGGTCAACAACTTCACTCGCACTTGGTTCTTTACATTAGTGTAAAATTTTATATACATCATACATACATAATGATAGGTTCAAAACTGTTATACTTTGCTTAAAAGATAAAATGAAAGGAATTAAAACTTCATTTATGCCAGTTTAACAGCAGTTTCATGAGAATAAATCGCAATAATGAGACATTTTCTCGCATTTTCCTCCATAGATCAGTGTTGAAGTCTCATTTCTTGTGTTTTTAGCTTGCTGGTCGTGATGTTGATATACTAAACTATGCCAGCCTTACTAGACGTAAATACGTCTGATTACCACCTGATCAGTATAATGCCTGACTTGTAGTCACTGATAAAAAAACGCAAATCGAGAAGATTCAGTTACTTTGTAATCTGTTCTGATGAGAGGTATATTTAAATAAAATAAAGTATCAAGGTTACTTAGGGGAAAGATTTTAGAAGTTATCTAGCTAGTACGGTTGAACTACGAAAAAGGAGAATTTACATGCTGCCAGCACAAAGAGGAAGTGAAAAATGTTAGTTGAGTCCGGTTGAATGTGTACCCCTTAAAACAAAATACAAAACACCTAAAGCACCTGCAGAGAGGCTAGACATTCACTTAATTGATTTTTAAGTTGATTCAGTTCAATCTATTAATTTTAACCCTTGGTCTATTTTGCTACCATGCACTGCATGTTCATCCATCAACAATACTATTACTGCGGAACTGACAGAATGAGAGGGACCATTGATTTTCAGTTCATTGTTTTAATTCATATCAATTATTTATTCTGTAATAAAAATGGCAGGCTAAGGTAGTGGTAAACTATCATTTAAAGGTCCAATCCGTTTAGAATATTAAGAAAATATACCATTGGAAACTTTCATTACCTATGTAAGCGTTTCCTTAAGCACAATAACCTGTTAGCATTTATTTGAACAAACAAAAACCATACAGTTTTGAATTTTACAGATAACTGTTAAAGTTTAAAGTCAATTTTTAGAACTCACTGATATAAACTTGGTGAGAAATAGACAAATGAATGGTTCCATTTCTTGACTACTTAGCAGTCAGTGTTCAAGAATACTGGAACTGATGACGACTGGAATGTGTGCCATCATTCAATTACCGAAGACATTGAGTAATAATGACTATTCACACTGAATGATGTTCAGAAATATAAGTCATTCAACTTCAGTCCATTAAATAAATGATAAGAGGCCTAGTAACAGACATCACAGTTCTGCGATGAATCTCATATCAGGTTGGAAGAATGAAATTTTGAAGACTCCCAAGCTAGGATAAAACAACTGGTTAATGCAGTGTGAAGGTGAGAATACCAGAAAGAATATTTCAACTGTCTGCTCTATTCTACACCGTTCAACAGTATTGTTGAGTACACCAACGACAAATTTTGCTGATCAGTGTACAATTCCTTATTTCATTATACATTTTTGCAATAAGCATTTTTCAACTCTCTGCACAAATTATATTTTATCACGCAAGTATTATTAGTAATAGTTTGCTTTATTCCAAGACAGTACTTATGACACAGTGGGGAATTCTCAGCATTTCCTACAATGCAGCATCTAATTGACTCGACAGCATCGGAAACAAAATCAAAAAATAATTACTAACCCTTACAAACCAAAATATAGAAAATTAATCAGATGCTCGCTAGTGACTTGCTACAGGATGGAGTTCTAGTGAGAAATCATGACCAGTGAGGTCAATCCAGATGTCACGTGTGAAGATGAATGTCTCACTGACGACAATGGTTGGGGTCGCGCTAAATCACGAATTGGTAGAAGTCAGAATTCATGCACTGGCCATTGAATCGGATCTTGAGCAGTATGACATAGTCCTTTTTGAGTAAATAGCCCAGGGAACACTAAATGAAAGCAGTACTTCATTTTTAAGACTACTTCGTAATTACTGTTGACCACACTAATTTACTTCTCTCTTTTATATTCTATCATTGATATTCTACGTAAACCAACTTATTTATGATATTTGTCCAAAAACTAAGATCAAATTGGTCTATTCCACCTACAAACTCTAAAGCCTATTTACAAATTTGCACAGTTTAATGTCACTATACCAACCATTATTTACTTGAATTATGATTGGTTAAAGTATAATAACGATATGCAAAAAAATATAACAGCAAATCACCAATATAGGGTTGCTTAGTTATAACTAGAAAAAAACAACCGTTCTCTTCTCCAAAATGCAGTAAAGAAAGATAAACAAATATTGAGAAAACAACTTATTTATTTTAAATCAATTGTATACTCATCAAATTCTCTCATAAGAAAAATGTTATTGACAGATACATTTTCTGCAGCCCACGATAATTTAATTAAAAACAATGGAACGCCTGGATTATGGTTTGCGCATACAGCAGATTATTGTGAAACACCGCCAAGACCACGTGTACGACTCGATGCAGTCGAGATAGCTAATCGCAATAAAAAGCATTTAACTACAGCTGAAATAAGTGGATTTGTAAGTAGTCGAACTGACTGTGGTGGTGAAGATCCGACTGATGAAACCAGTAGCGATCAAAAACGACAATTACGACTACGAACATTAGAAGCATTGAGTATTGCAGAGAAATCAAAATCACAAAGTGATAAATGGTATGATTTTGCTGATAATTTAAACTACAAACCGATAATAAAGCCACGTCGAATAGGAGCTGGAGAACTTGGTAAGGTAAGTCATTGTTTATTGATTGAAATCACATTGAATTTCCCCACTGATTGATGATAATGGACTGAAATGTTTCAACTCTTTGTTGATGTGTCGACTCCAGGTACCAGTGGTTCGACGATAGCTTCCGGGTTAATTTATAGTTATTTGGCTGGTAGTGGTTGGCAGCGGAATCCAGTACGCGGGTTTTGTCCTACGTTGGACTCATCAACTAGAGATATCCGCGTCTTCTGTGAGTGGTGGATAATTTTCCCAGTAAGACTTGAGTCCAGCATCAAATAAATGTTTCATGTGTAAACATTTGTAGATTGAAACATGTCACCTTAAAATTAGTTTTTTAATAGGTGATATGGGACGAGAAATCAAGGTTATCAGAATAAGATTAACTGAAGGACTTTGTATCTTAAAAGAGGACTTCAAATTTTAGGAAACTAAATTAAATCGGTGCATAATTTTGCATAGTGGTGGAGATGAAGGTTAAGTCATTATTTACCAGTAATTATCAGTTAAGTCAAAGTCGGTGATCGCTGTGGAATAGAATTTTGTAACTTTGGTTGATAAGAGAATTTAATATCTAATCTTTGACTTCTGTGGATCCTTACCATAAATGACCACCCTTATGAGTATACCTAGTTGGAAAATACACTAGAGTTTTACAAACAGTAGGAAAATTGTGAAAATAACATATATACCAATTTAACTGCTCCTGTGGAGCCAGTTACATAGACCGTACAATTAGGCGTGTTTCTCGTTGCATTTCCGAACATCACCCTGCCTGGTTAAGCAAAGGTCAAACAAAATCTATTCGCAGCGCTATTCTGGCTCATCTTGTGGAGACAGAACACAAGATTGACGTTAATCATGCTTTCAGGGTCATTTACCGCATACCTACGAATCTCAATTTTGCTTTAAGAGTTCGACTTCTAAATATTGCTGAGGCTGTGGGGATTCATATTAATAAGCCTAATTTATGCACCCAAAAAAGTTAGTTCAGTCATTATCATTACCTTGGCCATCCAGGTTTGAATAATCCAGAATTTTTGTGAAATTTCCTTAATTTTAGTTGATATTCTATTCTCTGTTATATCTTTATTACTATTATAATTTAAGCATCTTTAATGAACTGTAATTCCACTGATCTTACTTTACAAATCGATATTATAATTGGAGGATTTCATCATGAACTGACATCAGTTAGAGATGAAATCCTCCAATTATAATTAAACAAAATCCCTACAAAACCAATACTTGAAAATTAATCTGATGCTCACTAGTGACTGGCCCTATTCAGGCAGTTAACCTGGGGTTCTAGTGGGAAGCCGTGACCAGTAGGGTACAGCAGGTTGAAGATGTGACAGTAACTCATCGAAGAAGACATTGAGAAATTGTCACGCTATGTCGGGAATTGGCAGAAGTTAGAATTCAAGGACCATTGGATCGGGTCCCAGTGGCTCAATGGTCTACGAGCTCGCCTTGTAATCAGAAGGTCCTGGGTTCGAATCCCGGTGGGCGCGTACTGCTGAAGAGTCCCAAACTAGGACGAAACAGCTGTCCAGTACTCCTAGGTTTTCCAGTGGTTCTCTAACTGATGTCAGTTCATGATGAAATCCTCCAATTATAATTAAACAAAATCCCTACCAAACCAATACTTGAAAATCGATATTACTTAAAAAAACGCTAATATTGTTATTAACTACTAATTTAAAATATTCTGTGTATATAAACATTTATATAATTGTAGAGCCTGGAAGAGGAATTTATCGAAAAGAATATTCTTTGCTCGATTATTTTGTGTTTTATAGATGTCTGAATGAATATTTTTGCTATATTAAAATAATATTCGTTTGCCTTAAGCTGAACACTTCAATCGTCGCGCATACAGGATAAATCAAGGAAAGCGGTTTACGTTTTAGCAAGTAGGGCACTAGTTGTATTATTGATTAGCTACACAATACCAACCCTTAATAAACTCAATTTTCCTAATTACCCAATAAATAAATACTTTACCTAACTTTTAAGTACTCATAAAAAAACATATATCAAAAAGGCTAAGTTATTTAGTGCTCTGATTAAGCAGTATATTTAATTCGAATGAAAAGTTAAGGTTATTTAGAGAAAAGATTTTCGAACTTATCTGGCTAGTATAGCTGAACTACGAACTCAGAAAACATTGATGTTAACAGCACAAGGAAGAAGCACAAAAAATTGGCGTCCGAGTCTGGTCCTATGCGTACACGTTAAAGTAAAACTTAAAACACCTGAAGCATCTGCAGGCGGGTTGAACGTTTATTTAGTTAATATTAAGTTGGTTCCGTTTGATCTATTAATTTTAGCCTTAGGTTTACTTTGGTTCCATGGAAGGTGCGCTACAAGCACTTGAAATGGAATGTAAAAGGCATCCTGAAGTCCACTTCTAAACATCATCAAAATAAATAACACCACGTTACACTTCAGACATCGTTGAGGTGTCCCCACTCACAGTTAACAAGTCAACAGAAACCAAGTACTTTGGCTGATTACAAATCAATTGACAGGAAATACAAAATGGCACAGACGAATATCAACTGATACCCTTTATAAAAGAGGTAGCTATCATGGCCCAATAGATAATGCTTTGACACTTAAAATGATGATTGCTGGCCTCAGCTCTCAGTGTGAACAACATCACTCATTGCGTCTGCAGGTATACCCAACTGATGCGTCCCACTAATCTTGAATCCCACTGCTAGTCAACACAAACGAAATAATATCATATAACATTTGAAAGCTGAACTAGATCCTTATAAACTGTAAAAAAGTCAACCGGCAATAACAAGCACAAGTCACTAACAAAGGACGAAAAGTGAGAGTGGTCACTTCCTTCACCTATCTAGGAGGCATGGTTTTAACTTCAGGCAATGGCATGAATGAGGATGTCAAATCCAGTCAGAATCGGGAAGATAAGTCAGACCTTCATCACTGTGAAATCAGTTTGGACATCTTCCTCAATCAGCATTAAGAGCAAAGATCGGATTTTAAACACTAATGTTAATTCAGCCGGTTCTTTAATATGAGTCAGAAACTTGGCATAGTCGTCACGAAAAGCATTTCCAACAGTCTGCTGCAGACTTTTATCACAAACCGTATTCACTGGCTCTGCATTTAATAGATAAAATGACCAGAAAGAATTAGCAACAGGGTACTCTAGATACGAACTACTCAAGAACCTACTGTGGTTAGGGCTGGCTGCTAGCCAAATTGGTAGACAGTAATTTACGTCAATGTGTACGTCCCCAATATTGGTTATGAGAAAAATAAGAACAAAGACTGACTCAAAAAGCAATCACAGCAGACTTTGCGTAGGCGGATACAATTTGCAGATAGATAATGTGAACTTCAATAAACGGCCACAAATGGATGAAAGATTGACGTTCAGCGAGAAACCACCAATCAGAAGACTGTGTTTTTCTTCTGCTCACAATAATCTACAATAATGTACATGAAAGTGCGTAAATATGTGTTGATTTCCTATATAAAAGATCTGTTGCCTGGCCCTTTTCTTCTGTTATTACACTACTACTCGATAAATATGTGGAAGAAAATGGGGATAGATCGGATACAAGGTGAGGAGACCGTTGGATAAAATCGAGCACCAGCCGATCTGGTAGAACCTGAATGAAAAACGACGATTTGCTTATTGGTCCGAGGGTGACATAGAGGAGAATTATTACAACAGTAACTTTACAAGCAGATTGTGAGAGAAGTTCTGAAAATTCTACATCACTATCAAGGAGCATTAAATTTCTTTATTTGTAACAAAAAGCAATGTGACAGACATCACACGATAACCTACCATCTAGTTTGAGTTACATGAAAGACAAAACAGTAATAGCAAGCTACAACTGCATTTATTGGAATAATTAAAATAATCTAACTTCATGGAACTTTACTAACTTTTCTCGTTTTTCCACTTGTTTAAAGCAAATACCAAGGAATTTTGATAAAGTCAATCAAATATAGCTAATACTCCAAACTTTTGTATGATGGAACGCGAGATGCTATTGGGAAGACAGTAGCTTTACAGGACGTAGATAGACACCAGTCAGCTAAGAATATTTGCAAAATTCAAGAGAACTCGCATCATCCAGTGTTACTCATACTTGAGAATGGGAACCAAATTCACAATCTGCAAATTAGTTAACAGTTTGCAATGTACAGTATTTCAGAAGTGAAACTGCACCATAGTTTCGCTTAAAAATCAAATTATTCATATCACAGTAGGTGTGATCTGCTTGATACCATAAATGGTAGTCGGGAAAGCAAGAAAAATCGCCCAAAACTATATACTACTGATTGATTTCGGTGAGTAGTTGCATATTACTCATGTCAACCAGTAGTGCTTGCTAACCAGATAGAGGTGATCTAAACACTAAACGGCAAATATGTAAGTATGCTTGCTTCCTTGATCACGATTTATGGTTTCAAGCCAATCATATTTTGTGATATGAATAATTTGGCTGTCTAAAGGAAACTATGGAAGAAGTTTCACCACTCGAGCTGTGTAGATTGCAAATCGCTAAGTAATTTGAGAATTGGGAATTCGATTTATGGTAACACCAGTTCGGCCAAGTAACTACTCAGAAATCAGATGGTTTGAGCCGATTCAGCCTTGTGAGAGCTAAGTCAAACTGGGTACACCGCTGATGTGTTCGGTCCCAAACGAGATAAACGGCCGTCTGGTGTTTATTTAATCTTCCTCGATCTGGATGACACTCACTACTGGTTAATATCACTCAGTAGTATGAAGTTCTGTGAGATCGAAAGATTTCTCCCTTCCCAGTTTTAATCACAACTAACCCTTTGTTGGATGTAAAATGATTATTGATTTCACAAGTGGTTAACCAAGTTTGATAATGAAGTACTGATAACATAATATTTATTTTAACATCTCGCTTTATTACAAAGAGTTTGGAATATGAAATATGTCTGTCCTTCCTTGAAAAACAAATAAAGACCTCATTCGGTTATTTGATGCTTTCTTGCATGAAAATAAAAAACCATAGAGACTTCTTCTGGACGGACAGATCACTGCTTCTTCTCTTTAATAAACTAAAAATGCAAACAAAGCCTAGTGACTTTATGCAGATACTTATTTCTTATTTAAAGGCACTCTTTGTTATTGAACGAAGATCATTTCAAGCGTATTGTTGAATCGAAATTGATAACGTGATTTTTGAGTAGGAAAAAGGAAAGCACAAATAATTGCACAAATAATATTGATTTCAAGGTAGATTTCTTCATGAATTGACATAAATTAGAGGACTACTGAAAGCTTCGGAGTATTGAGTGGATGTTTTTCTCTACTTTTGAACTTTTCAGTAGTGGGAATCTACGATCTCATCAGGTATCAGCGCCACAACTCTTAGCTTGCGAGGTGAACCTACTGACCACTCAGCCAATATGTTGGGAACTAATCACCTATAAATTCTCACTTCTGTCAAATCCCTTGAACCCATCACTTGAAGATTTATTTTGGTAAAAGTTATAAAACAGGGATCTACGTTGGTTACTGACTACTTAGCAACTACATTATCTGAATTATTCAGGAATTAAGTGACTTATTATCTTACAATGACGAAATTTGAACTCTTGACGACAGCAACCTTTTCCTTGTAATTGGAATAATGGCTTGGTAAGATGTATGAATAAACATGATTTCTGAAATTTAGCTTGTTGAAATATGTATTAAAACTTTTTCAGTGGTAAATGTCTAAAAATAATAATATGACTGATATTAGTAATAATCGTTTTATTTCATACAATAATTATAAGGAAGATTGCTCCTATGACGCTGAGAAGGCTGAGGGACTGGAGTCGTAGTAGTAGTAGTAGTGGTATATATATATATATATATATATATAGTGCGTCGGTGACACAGTGGTTAGGACTCTCGCCGACCATGCACATGGTCCGGGGTTCGATCCTCTGCCCACGCACACCTGATATCTATGGTCGGCCTACAAAATTTGGGCTATGGATATCACATGCTGAAAATTCCATACCTGTACCGAAAAATACGGTGTGGAATCAAGCTGTAATAAAAAAAAATAAATAAAATAAATTGGATCTCACTGGTCACGACTTCTCACTAGAACTCCAGGAAACTCCATCCTGTAGCAAGTCACTAGCGAGCATCAGATTAATTTTCTATAGTTTGGTTCGTAAGGGTTTGTTATGTTTTTACGAGTTGATCACGGACTGATATCAGTTAGAGAACCATTGAAAATCAGGGAGTACTGGACAGCTGCTGTTTCATCCTAGTTTGGGGATCATCGGCAGCATGCACCCACTGGGATTCGAATCCAGGACCTTCCAGTTACAAGAAAAGCTCGTATACCATTCAGCCACTGGGACCCGATTCAATGGCTCGCGCTAAATCACGAATTGGTAGAAGTTAGAATTCATGAGCCATTGAATCGGGTCCCAGTGGCTGAATGGTATACGAGCTTGCCTTGTAACCGGAAGGTCCTGGGTTCGAACCCTGGTGGTGGGTGCATACTGCCGATGATTCCCAAACTAGGATGAAACAAATGTCCAGTACTTCCTGTTTTCAATGGTTCTCTAACTGATATTAATCCATGATCAACTCGTAAAAGCATAACTAACCCTTACAAACCAAACTATAGAAAAATAAAATAAAAATAATTAACTTAGCTGAATTTTTATTTATTTTGATTGAGTTAGCTGAATTAATCTCCATTTGGTAGACTAACCAGACGTGATTGGATGTAGGTTGAAGATCAAATAAGTTTTAGTTATCAGGGGATAAAAGTCAGTGACTTTCAGTTGACAGTCGGAAGAAATTGTAAATATCTTCCTATATGTGTTTACCATTCGGGCAGCATTGTGTCAACTGCAGGTGACATGGATTAATATGTTGAAGTCAGGAACGAATTAGGAAAGTCAAATAGCCTTTTATTATTACTCTGAAGTTAGTGTGGTAACCTTGAGCACTTAGTACAAGGTACAAGATCCAAATTTTCAACACTAATATCAAGAAAAATACTGCTTCTATATGGTTCAGAGACTTGGTAAACGTGTTATCTGAAGAGTTTCCAACAGGCATTTGCTTTCGTCCGGTAATGAAGACCAGATGGCCAAAAGTGATTAGCAGCAAGGGACTCTAACACACAGAGAGCCAGGCAACAACCCGTTGTCCAGCAAATATGTAGAAGTAAATGGAGGTAGATTTGATATTCTCTGGCAAAGCCACTGAGTGACGTCACACGCCAAGCAGGCCATTGAGTGTAACCCGAATGGGAGCGATGTCAGGGCCTTCTATGGTGACATGGAGGAGATCGCGTGAGGACGAGCTGAGAGCCTGTGGGCAGTCGTGGAGCAAGCTAAAGCCCTGTGTTCCACTCAAAACCCAAGGGAATAAAAAATAATAATAATGACAATCACATTTACACTAACCTATGAACAGAATGTTAAGCTGGCAAATATTAATTTGAAGTAAATCAAAATGTGGTCTTCTGGATATCATATTCCGAGAATTATATATTCGTAATTTATTTTAGAAAACCTCCCTACGATTTCATTATAAGTTCAAAATAATGAACCATAGGGTATGTGGAAGCCATTTCTGATATGGTTATATTCACACGGAAATAACTACCTTATTCGTGCATGCAGACTTAACATACTGACATAATCAGTTGACTAGCATCCGACATAAATAATTACAGATGCTAATCTTTTCTTAAGATTAAAAATTGACTTATGATTGTTAAGAAGTTCTTCAGGACTATAGACAAAAGTCAGCATAGTGGAGTAATACTTAGCTAAGCAATTTTTCAATGTGAGGAAATTTTCAGATTATAAGATTTCTGGGAGTTTTGGATTAATTTCAATCCTTAGATTTTCGTTACGAACCACATTCAGTTAGAGAGATCACTTAGAACCTGGGAGCACTGGACAGCTGTTTCGTCTAGTTTTGATACTCCTAACCCAACCAGGCGTTGAACCTAGGACGTTCATGTTACCAGACAGAGGTCGTTGATCATTCAGCCACTTAAGCTGGAATCCAATGACCCATGATCTGGTTAACTGATGTTAGTTCTTGACGAAAACCTAATAAGTGAAGAAATCTCTTGAAATAGATAGAAAGCTAGGAATAGATAAAATGGTTTATAAGAACCATGAATAGGATTTGACTGGATAGTTCCATAATAATTGGGGGCTTAAGGAAAAGTAGACATATACATATATCTCAGTGAAACTGAAAATAAAAAAGTTCCAACGTTCCGTTCGGATGTGTGAAGTGGTAATTATCTCTCCGTCCTTTTAGTCGATACATTATTCTGTCAGTCAGTCAGCTGATTGTGGTAGCAGTCATATGGATTTGTCCTACATAAGGCCTAGACCATAACGTGATATTATGAAACCACTGCTACCTTGATGACCCATTAATATTATCTCAGGTTGTGAATCTTGCGTGATTAGCTCAGATAATCCTAAAGAAATTTTGTTTTGTTCAACAAACAGATTTATTTTAAGACGACTGGTCTGGGGGTAGTTTCGTCTATGTGATGGAGAAGCGCAACTTTACTTAACACAGTCAAGATTGTGTTAGTGATTTATATTTTGAATACTTGCCTTATCAACTTGTTGACATTTGATACACCTTCAATACAAACGACGAGTACCATGGAATCGAATCTCAATTCGAGTCGCGTTTTTATTATTATTTGTTCCTTGGGATCTGAGTGGGGTATACGGATTGTTTTCCGTTTACTGTCGTCTTTTATTAGCTGGCTCAATAATTGCCCACAACCTTCATGGAGTAAATCCAACCTACCTCCATTTCCTTCTGTATATTTTTTAGGTAACAGGTTCTTGGTTTGTTCGTTGTCTTCAGGAATTCCTTGTTGCTTATGCCTTCTGGCTGACCATCTAATCTTCAGTGTCCAGCCGAAGTAGGCATTTGTTCATAAAAGTATGCAGTAACTTATTTAAAACATTTCCACTGATGCGGGCACCAGGTCTGTGAAACACATGGAAGCACTGACTATCTCGATATTAGCATTGAAAATTCGAATCTTGTTCGTCATGTTGATCTCCATACTGATTTCAGAGTTTTGAACCCCTGTCTTGGTTTCCCCACCCTGGCTAGCTTTGATATCCTTATCAGTGTTGCTGAAACGATGTTACCTAGGTAAATGTAAGAGAAGACTTCATTTTGACTTCTCCCGTTGACGATGACTGATGCTTGGCGCTACCGTTGGTTAGATAACATCATTACCTTTGCTTTTTTTAAATGTTCACCTGAAGTTCTGTCTTGGTTACCTCCTCTGACAACTTGCCGGTTTTCTCCTGTAGGTCTCTGAGTTTGTGCAGCTCAAGATCCTAACTATTTTGTAAAACATTATTTAAATCAGGTTGAACCAACTTGATGTCTACATCGTTAACGGGCTTGTGTTGTAATATGGCGGCTAGAGGTTCGATCCAAGGTGGTTCACAAGTGCGCAGTACTGAATAGTCGATAGACAGTTAGTGTCAGATTGTTAAACAGGTGTGGAAATGCGATTCTTGTAATTGTGTCCCAACTCTTTATACTCAACAGCAGACAACTCTGTTAGTTTTATGTCGTTAAAATTGCCCAACATCTACGAATTCGGAGTACCTGTCTGGGTTACTACAGTTTTTCACAGATAACAAATATCACTTATACATTGAATAAACAATAAATAAATCATATCAAACACTTTTTTATCTATTTTTATCAGGAAATTTTAGAGAATATGACACAAGAATGTGATCGGTTCAAGCATAAATCATTTGATGGAACAAATACTGAAATAAATCCTGATCGTAGAAAATCATCAATATCATCCAGTTATAGTCGACGTAATGAAGTGAATAATTGGTTTGCACATCCACAACCAAAGCCAAGAGAGAAGTTGGATGAAAATCCAACAAGTTTACCGACACGTTTGAGAGTACACCGTGAAGGCATAGAATACTCATTGAAAAATCGAGTAAGTTAAATGATCAATAGCTGGGATGAATTGATTGTTTTAAAGATGTGATCTTCTATTCATTTAGATATAAAATGGAATCAAAATAGATTCCTTATATAAGGATAGAACTTGGGCATTGTCGTAGAGTATAATTATATTGTGGAAAGAATTTACTTTGATAATGTCTTACAGTGTTATGCAGTAATATCAGTAAACACTGTGAGACTTTATCAAAATAAATTTTATCCATAATAGATTATATATACCCCATTATGGATAAGATTTTATTTTGATAAATCACACAGTGGTGTTATACAGTAATATTAACTGATGATCACGTTTCGAGCACAAACTATTACTCATAATCATATCAAGTTACTCATACAACTTTTGTACATTCAAAAATAATAATGCGGGTGTTATTGATCAATTACAATTAGATGGGAAATACGAAGAGTGTTTTTATGGTCATAATAAGTTATTTGTTAGAATGTTATGATGTACGTGAATTGAAATAAAATTTAAAGATTATTTATTATTCTCTTCTGATTTGACCGGAGGTAATAATATCTTCCATATTTCTGGTATTTACATTGAGTTATTTCTGTTGCATGTGTTGGGTGTAGACTCGATGAATAAGGATTCCGTAATCAACCTCTCTCTCCCTCTACCTATATTACTTTTTATAATTTTAGAATAGGCTGGGATAGGGTTAAAGTTCTAAAAAGTAATCTATGTAGGTGGAGATAGAGAGAGATTGATTACTGAATCCTGGTTCACCGAATCTACACCCAACACATGCAACAGAAATAACTCAATATAAATACCAGAAATATGGAAGATATTATTACCTCCGGTCAAATCAGAAGAGGATAATAAATAATCTTAATATTCTATTTCAATTCAATTCACGGACATCACAACATTCTAACAAATAACTTATTATGACCATAAAAACACTCGTCGTATTTCCCATCTAATTGTAATTGATCAATAACACTCATATTATTATTTCTGAATGTACATTTTCTTATATTGAATTTTATTCCAATATCTAATCGATTCCACACATGTATATAAATGAAGGAAAAAGTTGTGTGAGTAACTTGATATGATTATGATTGGCAATAGTTTGTGCTGGAAACGTGGTCATCAGTTAATATTACTGTATAACACCACTGTGTGATTTATCAAAATAAAATCATATCCATAATGGAGTTTGTTATGTATGTGAATATGAGGACCTTGTAGACTACGAGCGAATCTAACTAATGCGCTGGCTAATCTGTCTTAATCGCACGTCAACAACAACAACAATAATACCGCCGGGCACGCAAGACAAATAAAAGAGAAGACTGGACGTTGATATGAGAGCTTTTACTGTCTCAAACAACAGTCGAAAATGTTAAACAACAACTCCGTATTTATACAATTAGAAAAATCAATGTCACACTTTAAAAATATTAACGACCTTGGGAATTCAGTAATTTAAATCAATAATCACGCAGATGCGTGAAATCAATGATTAGGCTAGTGTGGGAAATAAATACTGAATATTAATGATTCACCTGTATATATATTACCTCCCCCTTTTAAAAAAGAATCTTGCAACCAGTTTAGTATCTTTTTTCCTTGGGGTCGATTTGGAAATGAACTGTTTGTGTTCGTTTGCGCTGGGATCGTCGGCTGGGTAGCATCTCTTGTTTTGCTTCTGGTTTGACTGGTGGTATTTTGAAAGTTTCCAGTAGTAAATCCAGTGGCAATTTAGGTTCTTGGAATGTAGTATATCGACGTCGTATCTGATTTTTATGTCTAATCCACCATTCATCCCCAACTTTAACCTTGTACATTACAGTTCCATGTCGACATTCTATCAAGCCTTCGGCCCATTTTCTGTTCCTCGGTCGATAATCGCGCACATAGACGGCATCACCCTTGCGGTAATACGTCAGACTATTTCTTCGTTGATGTGACGAAGATGGTAACATGGAGTGGTGATGAGTTCGTAGCATTCGACCCATCAGAAGTTCTGCAGGGCTTTTCTTATGTTCTGCCAGTGGTGTAGTTCGGTATACAAAAAGAAAGTTTTGTATTGCTTCCGGTTTCGCCCCTCCCCCTGCTTTCAACAACGCTCGTTTGAAAGCGTCGACAAATCTTTCTGCCTGACCGTTGGATTGAGGGTGATAAGGTGGCGTCCGCACGTGTTGTATACCGTTTCTCCTGCAAAATTCCTGGAACACTTGTGAGGTGAACTGACTGCCATTGTCAGATACGATGATTTCTGGTATACCGTGACATGCGAAGATCTTTTCCAGGACTGATACTGTTCTGCTGCTAGAAGGTGGTGTCATTTGCACTACCTCCGGCCATTTTGAGTAAGAGTCCACGAGAACCAAGTAGTATATAACTTCTATCGGCCCAGCAAAATCCACATGTAGGCGGGACCATGGTTTTGACGTGGGCCATGCTCTCGGTGGCGGATCTTTGGCTGCCGTGACAGACATCACCTTCAGTTTTTGAGCAGAGCCCGTCCTACGGGAGCTAACAGTTGCTACTTTGTTGCTACCAGACATCGAAGCACTTTTGATGCAGCCATACTCACTATGACGATTCGAAGTTGGTTTTTCATTAATCACGACATTCTTTATACTGGGTTTAGGTCTAATATATCTGTCTCTGATTTCTGGCTTTCTTGTTGAAGGCTCAATACTTTCGATCTTTTGGCATACATTGCTTAACGGAATCTCTGACAGGTGCAGCTTCTCAAACCAGTCTAAACCCAAGAGGTCAAGGTTTGAATTGTTGATGTAGCATGTGCCGACGAAATGACTATCGCGAAAACTAACGCTGCATTTAATTTCTCCATTCAATCGAAGTCTTCCGCCACATGCGCTAATTGCTATCTGATTTGTCTTCTCTATGGCAGGGCATCCCAACTTCTGCCATAATTTCTTTGATATTATTGTAATATCGGATGCTGTGTCGATTTGTAGGCGTGCCGGCCGTGTATTAATCGTCAGATCGATATATTTGCGAGGTGCTGGAGTATTAATATGATATGCGGCAGTAACACCCAAAGACTTGAGCTTGTTGCGCCGTCTGGGTCGACTACGAGATCTGGGTTGGTTGTTGCGTTTGCAGTAGCCATCTTTGTGACCAACAGTATGGCATCGACGGCATTTATGCTGTTTGAATGGGCACAAGTTTGCAAAATGCCAGGAGCCACAGTGCCAGCAGGCTGATGGTGGTTTATGCTGAGGATGAAGCGGTGCGGTTGATGTCGACGGTACTGGATGCACCGCATGCACTTCCGCTGCATTTTGGCTGCCAGACTGCACCAAGACGGTATCGTTGTGAATGTTGATTAAACGCTGATATTCTTCACCGACGTCTTTCAAAGTCATTCGTGGATCTTGTTCCAGACGATTTAATAGACGTGTGCGTATATCAGCAAATTTGGGAGACTGCAAACCACAAATGAAAATCAACACCTTGAACTGGTCTTCTGAGAGTGATTTCAATTTAAAACGTTCACACGTGCGATTGACTATACCCAACTGAGTATGGATATCATCATTTTCGTTCAAAACTAGTTTCATGCAATGATATCGAATGTTGAATAACGATCTCTGATCACCAAACTGATGACGAAGGGTATGGACAGTTTCATCGAATGATCTTTCGCTGGGCTTCTGTGGCAGAATTAAGTTGCAGTATTTATCTAGCTCATCTGCTCCCAATTTACGAAGTAGAAGCCGTACTTTCCAGGCATCATCTTTGTCCGCAAAGTCTACTAGAAATAGGTCTTCATATCTGCGAAACCAAGTGTCAAAAGTGACGTTCGCATCTGGATCATAAACGAATTCTGAGATGCTACTACCAGTGCTGTCGTTGGCTGTAGATGAATCAGCAGAGCGTGATATTTGTAGACCAGCAAGCATTTCCATCAATTTTAGCTGCTGTTCCATTAGTTTCTCTAAACGCAGTGGGTCCATCTTCAGCAAACCCGTCGCCAAATTTGTTATGTATGTGAATATGAGGACCTTGTAGACTACGAGCGAATCTAACTAATGCGCTGGCTAATCTGTCTTAATCGCACGTCAACAACAACAACAATAATACCGCCGGGCACGCAAGACAAATAAAAGAGAAGACTGGACGTTGATATGAAGA